TAATAATAATAATAATAATAATAATTATAATAATAATAATAATAATAATAATAATAATAATAATAATAATAATAATAATAATAATAATAAGAGGAGCGATTGGTGGAATGATGATGTAAAGAGAGTAGTAAGGGAGAAAAAGTTAGCATATGAGAAGTTTTTACAAAGTAGAAGTGATGCAAGGAGGGATGAGTATATGGAGAAAAAGAGAGAGGTTAAGAGAGTGGTGAAGCAATGTAAAAAGAGAGCAAATGAGAGAGTGGGTGAGATGTTATCAACAAATTTTGTTGAAAATAAGAAAAAGTTTTGGAGTGAGATTAACAAGTTAAGGAAGCCTAGAGAACAAATGGATTTGTCAGTTAAAAATAGGAGAGGGAGAGTTATTAAATGGGAGAGTTAGAGGTATTGGAGAAGATGGAGGGAATATTTTGAGGAATTGTTTAAATGTTGATGAAGATAGGGAAGCTGTGATTTCGTGTATAGGGCAAGGAGGAATAACATCTTGTAGGAGTGAGGAAGAGCCAGTTGTGAGTGTGGGGGAAGTTCGTGAGGCAGTAGGTAAAATGAAAGGGGGTAAGGCAGCCGGGATTGATGGGATAAAGATAGAAATGTTAAAAGCAGGTGGGGATATAGTTTTGGAGTGGTTGGTGCAATTATTTAATAAATGTATGGAAGAGGGTAAGGTATCTAGGGATTGGCAGAGAGCATGCATAGTTCCTTTGTATAAAGGCAAAGGGGACAAAAGAGAGTGCAAAAATTATAGGGGGATAAGTCTGTTGAGTATACCTGGTAAAGTGTATGGTAGAGTTATTATTGAAAGAATTAAAAGTAAGACTGAGAATAGGATAGCAGATGAACAAGGAGGCTTTAGGAAAGGTAGGGGGTGTGTGAACCAGGTGTTTACAGTGAAACATATAAGTGAACAGTATTTAGATAAGGCTAAAGAGGTCTTTGTGGCATTTATGGATTTGGAAAAGGCGTATGACAGGGTGGATAGGGGGGGCAATGTGGCAGATGTTACAGGTGTATGGTGTAGGAGGTAGGTTACTGAAAGCAGTGAAGAGTTTTTTCGAGGATAGTGAGGCGCAAGTTAGAGTACATAGGAAAGAGGGAGATTATTTCCCAGTAAAAGTAGGCCTTAGACAGGGATGTGTGATGTCACCGTGATTGTTTAATATATTTATAGATGGGGTTGTAAGAGAAGTAAATGCGAGGGTCTTGACAAGAGGCGTGGAGTTAAAAGATAAGGAATCACACATAAAGTGGGAGTTGTCACAGTTGCTCTTTGCTGATGACACTGTGCTCTTGGGAGATTCTGAAGAGAAGTTGCAGAGATTGGTGGATGAATTTGGTAGGGTGTGCAAAAGAAGAAAATTAAAAGTGAATACAGGAAAGAGTAAGGTTATGAGGATAACAAAAATATTAGGTGATGAAAGATTGGATATCAGATTGGAGGGAGAGAGTATGGAGGAGGTGAATGTATTCAGATATTTGGGAGTGGACGTGTCAGCGGATGGGTCTATGAAGGATGAGGTGAATCATAGAATTGATGAGGGGAAAAGGGTGAGTGGTACACTTAGGAGTCTGTGGAGACAAAGAACTTTGTCCTTGGAGGCAAAGAGGGGGATATATGAGAGTATAGTTTTACCAACACTCTTATATGGGTGTGAACCATGGGTGATGAATGTTGCAGCGAGGAGAAGGCTGGAGGCAGTGGAGACGTCATGTCTGAGGGCAATGTGTGGTGTGAATATAATGCAGAGAATTCGTAGTTTGGAAGTTAGGAGGAGGTGTGGGATTACCAAAACTGTTGTCCAGAGGGCTGAGGAAGGGTTGTTGAGGTGGTTCGGACATGTAGAGAGAATGGAGCGAAACAGAATGACTTCAAGAGTGTATCAGTCTGTAGTGGAAGGAAGGCGGGGTAGGGGTCGCCCTAGGAAAGGTTGGAGGGAGGGGGCAAAGGAGGTTTTGTGTGGCGAGGGGCTTGGACTTCCAGCAGGCGTGCGTGAGCGTGTTTGATAGGAGTGAATGGAGACGAATGGTTTTTAATACTTGACGTGCTGTTGGAGTGTGAGCAAAGTAACATTTATGAAGGGGTTCAGGGAAACCGGCAGGCCGGACTTGAGTCCTGGAGATGGGAAGTACAGTGCCTGCACTCTGAAGGAGGGGTGTTAATGTTGCAGTTTAAAAACTGTAGTGTAAAGCACCCTTCTGGCAAGACAGTGATGGAGTGAATGATGGTGAAAGTTTTCTTTTTCGGGCCACCCTGCCTTGGTGGGAATCGGCCAGTGTGATAATAAAAAAAAAATAATATAATCATCTCTTTCACAGATCCATCTTTCGACATGTCCACTTCCAAGGATCTTAAAAAATTCACACACACACACACACACACACACACACACACACACACACACACACATGTATATACATATTATATATATATATATATATATATATATATATTATATTATATATAATATATATATATATATATATATATATATATATATATATATATGCAAAACAACCACTCTGAAAGAATAGAGAAATTCCAAGCGCTTTCGTGACTACTCACATTATCAAGGAACTATGAAAGTGAAGTATCCAAGGAAGCTATATAAGGGGTCGGCCAGCACCTCACTATCACCTGTTTACTGTGATCTTATTGCATTATATATATATATATATATATATATATATATATATATATATATATATATATATATATATATATATATATATATATGAGTCAACAGGGAAACAATGCACTGACTTTCTTGGGTTATCCTGGGTGGCTAACCCTCCGGGGTTAAAAATCCGAAGAAAATCTTATCTTATCTTATCATGCGAATATATAGAGTAGATGGTAAGTTATTAAAATGCAGTAAAAAAATTTTATGGATGAAAGTAGATGAAGTATACACAAACTCTGTGAAAGCCTTCGACAGGTGCGATCATGGTGTAATAGCACACAAAATGCGTGATAAAGAAATAACAGAAAAAGTTGGTAGATGGATCTACAACTTCCTAACAAATAGAACACAAAGAGTAATAGTAAACAGGATAGTGTCAGAGGCGGCTACAGTGACAATTTTTGTTTCACTAGGTACAGTACTCCCCCCCATCCTGTTCCTCATCCTCATAAGTAAGTTTATTCAGGTATACACAAATACAGTTAAATAGATTATCATACATAGCAGCACATGTGTAGAGAACCCAGGATAACCCAAAAAAGTCAGAGTGACTTATTTCCATTGGGGTCCTTTTAATACCTTATTAAGATAAGATAAGATAAGATTTCGTTCGGATTTTTAACCCCGGAGGGTTAGCCACCCAGGATAACCCAAGAAAGTCAGTGCGTCATCGAGGACTGTCTAACTTATTTCCATTGGGGTCCTTAATCTCATTTTATACCAAAAAGGATATGTACTAAGACATACGTATATACTATGACATAGAGATGTAAGATAAGATTTCGTTTGGATTTTTAACCCTGGAGGGTTAGCCACCCAAGATAACCCAGGAGAGACAGTGCGTCATCGAGGACTGGCTGTCTTATTTCCATTGTGGTCCTCAATCTTGTCTCCCAGGATGCGACCCACACCAGTCGACTAACACTCAGGTACTTATTTGCTGCTAGGTGAACAGGACAACAGGAGTAAATAAACGCGATAAAATGTTTTCACACCGCCGGGAATCGAACCCGGACCCTCCGTGTGTGAAGCGAGAGCTTTCCAGCCAGGCCACGGCACTGTGTCATCTCTTGTTAACGATACCAGAATTTTCATAACAGTGTTATCCATCGAGGATTGCAAATCTCCAATCGGATATTAACTAAATCTTTAAACTGGCGTCAGAAAACAATATGAAGTTCAATGAAGACAAATTTCAGTTACTCCGCTATGGAAAACTCAAGGAAATAAATAGAGCAAAAAAGTAAGGTGAAGGACCTGGGAGTGATAAGGTCAAATAATCTCACTTTCAAAGATCACAACAATGTTTTTATCACATCTGCTAGAAAAATGATAGGATGGATAATGAGAACCTTCAAAACTAGGGACACCAAGCCCATGATGATTCTCTTCAAATCTCTTGTTCTCTCTAGGCTGGAATATTGCTCTTCACTAACTGCCTCTTTCAAGGCAGGCGAAATTGCTGACCTGGAGAATACACAGAGAGCTTTCACTGCACGTATAAGTACAATAAAGCACCTAAATTACTGGGAATGGGTGAAGTCCCTTGATAAGTACTCCGTAGAACTCAGAAGAGAAAGGTACATGATAATGTGCACTTGGAAAATTCTGGAGGGACTGGTCCCAAATCTGCACACGGAAATCACTCCCTATGGCACCTACGGCAAGCGGTGCAACATCCCCTTAAACAGTCTGGTTGATCCGGTACTGATCCACAATAAGGCCTGGTCATTGACTGGGCCGTGGGGACGTCGACCCCCGGAATACCCTTCAGGTATATACCTAAAAGATTTAGGCATATACTTGTTTATCTATTTTTATTCACTGGGAAGCGCTAAACATGTAGGGGTCATATAACCCATGGGGAGGCACTCAGGTTCGATCCAAGGAAGGAAAAGGTAAATCCAGTTCCTTGACTCATGCGGCCTTAATGTTCATCACCAGTCAAGAATAATTTTGTACCTGAAATAGTGAATAATATAAAATCTCAATGTATATACATTTGCTTGTTTGCTTGCTTTCTTATTTGCTTGGTTGCTTTATTATTTGCTTGGTTGCTTTATTATTTGCTTACTTGCTTACCTTCTTACTTGCTTTCTTGCTTATTCCTTTCTTGCATACTTGCTTTCTTACTTAATTTCTTACTTGATTGCTTGTTTACTTATTTTATTAATTCAATTGCTTGCTTACTGAATATATCTTGCTCTATATAGGTAGAACCTGGTGTCAGCGCCATCTATGTGACGAACAAGTAAGGGAATGAGTGTGAGAGGTGCCAGGAGCTGCGTCACGGCGGTCACTGAGTGAGAGTGAAGTGTCTTGACTAATATTGACGAGGATTGAGAGTGATGGTGAAGGTGACGACGATGATGATGGCAGCGTCAGTGGTGGTGACTGCCAGCGTCAGGGCCGTCAAGGGTCGCCGCCTGGTGCCCACCAGGGCCGCCCTCGTCCTGGTGAGACTCTCAGCCGCTAAACCCACATGGGTCGTGGTAATGGTGAGAGATGAGGAGTTGGGGGTAATCCCTCGTTTGCCGTCGAGGATTGTCTCGTCTTTTTTCCTATTGCGGTTCTTTAATTTAATCATCCCCCCCTTCCATCCCCCAGGATGTGACCTGTTTTATTTCCATGGGGGTCCTTTGATGTTGCCCCCAGGATGCGACCTGTTTTATTTCCCCTCAGGATGTGACCTGTTTTATTTCCCCCCAGGATGCGACCTGTTTTATTTCCCCCCAGGATGTGACCTGTTTTATTTCCCCCAGGATGTGACCTGTTTTGTTTCCCCCCACCCCTCAAGGAAGGTTACTTGATGTTGGTGAGGGGCTCTTGATTTAGGGAATTGGATCTGTGATCAAGTTCCCGAATTAAGCCTGAATGCCTTCCACATCCCCCCCCCAGGCGCTGTATAATCCTCCGGGTTTAGTGCTTCCCCCTTGATTATAATAATAATTATTGTTTCCCCCCAAGATGCAACCTGTTTTATTTCCCCCAGGATGTGACCTGTTTTATTTCCCCCAGGATGCGACCTGTTTTATTTCCCCCAGGATACAACCTGTTTTATTTCCCCATAATATGCAACCTGTTTTATTTCTCCCAGGATGTAACTCGCACCAGTCGACTAACACCTAAGGAAGTTACTGACAGGTAAACAGGGGCAGCAGGTGCAAGGAAACATGCCCAGCATTTCCACTCGTACTGGGAATTGAACCACAGACTCCTATCATGCCCTACTTTCGTGATGGTGGTACCCTGAGTCCTGTTCCATGGCTCTTGATGCAAGGCCCTATCTGCACCTTGTTTTCACCCAGGGTGCCTTGATGGTCATCTGGTGTTGATGATGTGCTCTTCAAGGAAGGTTCCTTGATGCTGGTGAGGGGCTCTTGATCTAGGGACTTGGACCTGTGCTCCAGTTCCTTGAATCAAGTCCGAATGCCTCCTAATTCCCCAGGCGCTGTATAACCCCTACAGCTTTACTGCTTCCCCATTGAGTATAATAATAATATTGATACATCAGTTTTTATCTAGTATTGATGAGACAGTGAACTGGTGATCTATATCATTGTGATGAACACTGTCCCAACACTGGCAAGGATGTGTAGGCCTACATAAGCCCTGATTATTACTAGTAATTAATTTTTAAGGCAATGACAAAACTAGGGCAATGACGAGTACTTGCCTGGTAGAACAAATAAACTTATCGTGGGTTGCGTGTTGAACCTGCTGTGGTCATACAGCACCTTGAGGAATTGGAGGCATGCTGGTGTTTGATTTAGGTTCAGTCCACTTTTTTGGATCAAGAGCCCTTTGCCATCAAGGCTTAAAGACTCATTAAATAAAATCACCTACATATTGAGCACAGTAAGCTTCTATGGGACAAAATTAATTTGGAGTTCGTTCCACTTATCAATCACTATTGCCAGACCAGTACTTTCCTGTATCTTTTCTCAATATAAGCTCCTCCAACTCAACTCCATTGCCTACTCCTGTTTTGGTTAGCTATTTTCAACACTGTTTATGCCCCTTTTATTTCTGTTATGAATTTAGACACTTCAGTCATATTTCCCCTCATTCTTCATCTTTCCAGAGTGCAAGTTCAAGGCCTTCATCTCGTTTTGCTGTATAGCCCTTGTGGTTTAGCGCTTCTTTTTGATTATAATAATAGTAATTCATCTCGTTTTTGTATGAAATGCATATTTTAGCTAAAATTTTAAGTAAGTCATAAAATGTTTGTAGCTGTTCTGCAAGTCTAAACGTGCAATAAAATGACATTTTTAGCACATTTTTCAGATACATGAAATCAGCATCATCTTTCCCTGTATAATTTCCAGTGCATTCGTGTCCAATATGTAATATGGAGACCAGAACTAAGCAGGATAATCTATAAGGCCTTACCAGTAGGGTATAAGTGTTTACAATAAAGCTAATAGAATCAGATCATAGAATGGGCAAGGCTGAAACTAGTGGCAAGCAATTTAAATCTCACATGCCAGAATTCTGTGATTTTTTTTTTTTTTTTTTTTTTTTTTTTTTTTTTTTTGCAGTTGTGTTATTACAGTTTCGTGAGTCAAGCTAATAGTATACCTCATAACAGAATGCTTCATGTCAAGAAGTATAAATAATAAAGGTCCTTGGGTTATACTTCAGCTTTATATATCCTTGGTAAGAGCTCTGATTCTGCTGCTTAGTTTTGGTCTTCATATTACATAATGGATATAAACGTGCTGGAAAATACAGAGAAAAATGACGAAGTTGATCCCATATATCAGAAATCTTTTCTATGAAAATAGGCTGAAAATACTAAATTTCCACTTTCTGGAAAGGCATAGAATTAAGGGAGACGTTTGAAGTGTACAAAGCAAAAACAGGAATTAATAAAATGGATATAAATAATGTGCTGAAAATATCTAAGACAGAACTTGCAGCAATAGTGAAAAAAACTGCCAGGAAGTGTCATTAGCATGAGAACTTTTGGTAACTTAAATTCTAGATTGGATGGGTACATGAGTGGGTGTGGATGGGTGTGAATTGATCCTGCCAAGCATGGTCTAGTAGGCCTACTGCAGTACTCCACTGTTTTTACATATAGGCAGGCCCCGATTTACAGGGCTTTGCTTTACAGTGTTTTGCTAATACAATGGTTTTCAATTATACCATGCTTCATTTATTCAGGCTTCCTACAATAAATAAAGTCACCACTCACGAAAAGCTAAGTACGAAAATATTTTAAGGTAAGTAATGTATGTACTGTATATGCATTTTTTAGGCCTAGTTTTGTTCCTCACTTAATATATAATACAGCCATGCCTCACTTAACAACAAAGTTCTGTTCCTAAGACTATGTCTGTAAACAAATTTGTCGCTGAGTGAGGAGCATACTATAATGGTAGTGGGTTTGTCTCGACCATCTTGTATACAGTTTTAATGTCACCTTTGCACCATTTATAACATTTCTTGTATATTTTTAAATGTTTATACAGTAGTGTACTGTATATTGTGATAAAAAGAAGAGGAAATCAGCTCTAATATACATAATTTAGGTATACATACTGGTCAGAGAGCATTGTTTATGTTAGTAGGTTTAAGGCTTTCAGTGACCAAGGTAAGGCAGTGTTTTGTGATTTGTTGTAACAGTTAGGAGTGTACAGTGTAATATTTATTTATATTTTATTTCTTTATTAGAAGTTATGATTCCATTTATAGACATTTGAAAGTACTCATATAATAATATTGTTTGGCAGCTTTCTATTAATTTTATATTCTATTCTATTTTTTGTGATTTCTTTTTTGTATCCCGGTGCTCCTTGTGTTTTTCTGGATTCTATGGACTTTCAAGTCTAGTGGGTAATTTCGCTGTACACAAATTTGTTTTGGGATAATACCCAAAAAACGTTTGCCCACCCCTGCACTAATAATTATCCATCCATCTGTCAAATGGCATGAAGCTCCAACTCCTCATATATCACCCACCTTAACCTACACTTATAACCAACTTGTATTTTCTTAATCATAGTTACTTAAAAAATGAAATATCTTTTTTAACAGAACTTATAAAGTTTAAACTCCCTTTTAAATGTTTGCTACATGTACAGCATTATTATTATTATTATTATTATTATTATTATTATTATTATTATTATTATTATTATTTATTCTTTTTTTCTAACCCTATAAATTATAACCCTATAAATTATATTGCAATAAGTAATAATAAAAATAAAAAATGCATGTGTTAAATTTGGAAAGCTACGTTGTTATATATTCATGGGTTAGAGCAAAATTTGTAGAGTTTCTAGAGACTAGGGAAATGGAAGGTTAGCATGTTTTATCCAAAGAAAGGAAGGATAACTCTGAATCTTTGGATCAAGAGCCCTTCACCAGCATTGAAGCGCATCCCTTGAAGGGAGTGTTTGCCGATTCCAAGGCTTTCTGCCTCAGCCGAAATCCTGTAGAATGGTAGATTTGACTTATCATTTTATCTGTTACTACATCCTACAGCACAGCAAGCAGTACCCATCACAGAGACTTTGAATGATGAGAGAAATCTCATACTGTATGCATTCGGTGGAATGAATTACTGTAGGATATAGTAAGCGCTACAACCATTGGAATTTGTGAAAATTTTGTGATGATTGAATTATTGAAGATGGGGACATCATGAGAAGTAGCTACAAATAGGTACATGTATGTGCTGTGTGGTTGTCGGCGCAACTTGACATTCAGTATTTCAGACAAGTAATCTTCAGTAATGTCTTTTATTTATACTTATATTTCAGCTGTATACAGTAAGCCCTTGACTTACAAACACAGTGGGGACCTCCTGAATTGAATACATGTATAATTTTCATAATACAGGAAGTCTTCAACTGATGAACACGTTGGGGACCTATATTGTGTATGTTAATGACATAATGATTATTATACACATTAATGATATGTGTAATGACATTATGCAAAAGATTCTCAGTGTGTTTGTAAGTAGAGGACTTGCTGTACTTCAGTCATGTCTGCCATCATTTTGCATCTTTCAAGAGACTGCACACTCAGGGCTCTCAGTATATCTTTGCATGAAAGATTCTTAATTTAGTGGATCTGCCTTCTCCTTCCCATCAAGGGGGTGCCTTGGTGTTTGTGTAGAGCTTCTGATCCAAGGAACTAGAGCTACCCTGGTTTGAATCCATGGCAAGCGAGTCTTCAAAACTCCAAGCAGTGTGTAAGCCACTCAACCTCGTTTGTCTGCAATTGTGTTATTACAATTTTGTGACATTATACAGCCTAAAACCCTTCAAGGGGAAGTACCTTAATGCTGATGAACAACTTTTGATCCAAAAAAATTGGAGCTATACTTCCTTTCCTAAGATCAAATTTGATTACTTTCCATTCCCCAGGTGATGTATGACCCCATAGAAATCGTACAGATAATCTTACAGTACATAGTACTCTTAAGTTAAAAATGTTGGCAAATGCAGATACAGTAAATGCCTTATTTAATTTATGAATCAATTTATTTGTGGTACTGTATTTAATTTATTTTTGCATTATAACTTCATATTTTTCAACTAATTTTTGTTTTATTTCAGACTCAGAGTGCTGTTCAGAAAGTTCGGGAATTATTAAAGGAAAATCCAGAGGCAGTGAGTATCGTAATTGCACACCATAATTTTTGAAGGACATTGTGATAGGATGGGGGATGAGCTGTAGTTTTTTTTTTTTTTTTTCAATCTTATCTTTGACTTGACATGAAATTTTGAACTATTGCAAAGCAGATGGTGTAAGGATGTTGTCATTTATAGAATCATGTTATTGATGTCCATACACATCTCACAAAACAAACCCTTTCAGATTTAGCACTTAGTTTGATTATATTATTATTATTATTATTCTCACAAGATGGCTGTTGAATGAATAATGATGAATGTTTCCTTCTTTTGGTCACCCTACTGGGAAATAGCCAGTATGGTAAAATATCAGTTTTGAATAAAAATAATAGGTTAGAATGTTTCTAGTAGAATAACGTGGTGTCAACTCCTTTTACAAGGATTTTTTATTGTAACACTCAGTCAACTTGCAATACAATCCAAATTTTAATTGATTTGTAATGCTGTTCCTGCTAACAAGTAAACTCGAACATATCTTTGCTACTCTTGCGTCCTCTGCAGACTAATCATGTGTATGATACACTCTTGCTCCTTGAGACTGGTATCATCATCATTTCTTATGAGATAGTTGATTTGATGCAAAGTATCTCCTTTGTCAGCTCTTCAAGAATTCTTGATGCCATTTTATGACCTTTAGTTAGGAAAATAAGGTCAGCAACCCTTGTTTTGTTTTCTGATTTCCAAGATGATCAATTAGAGTATTATACTGCATAGTTGAATACAGTAGATTAAATAAAAATAATTGAGCTATATACGTATTATACATTAAGTAAAATATTTTGAGCTGTGTATGTAACTCGGACATCCAACAGGGTTGTGTGAACCTTTTAGATAGAAGGGAGTGCTTTTTATGATGATTTTTACATGCTGTGGGAGTATGACCAGTCAAATTTCTGAAGGGATTCAGAGATACAAGTTAGCCAGACAAGAGTCCTAAAAGTGGGAAACACACTGCCTGCAGTCTGAAGGAACGATGGAATGTTGTAGTTCAAAGGGTCATCAGAGCTGTTATGTCATCATGCTTTTGGGATGACAGTTATTTGAATGAATGATAGTGAAAGTGTTTCTTCTTCAGGTCACCTTACCTCTAAGGGGAAATACAATAGTATTTTAGAGTCAAGGCAAACTGCTGATTTCAGGAAGGGAATTTTATAAACATTAAAGTACATGTATTTACATAATTGCTTAGCATTTACTAAACTCCTTTCTCTTTTGTAGTTGGGCCTGAAGGTGGGTGTGAGACAACGAGGCTGCAACGGTCTAAGTTATGTTTTAGATTATGCCACAGAAAAGGGAAAATTTGACGAAGAAGTTGTACAAGATGGTGAGTGATAAATTCAGTAAAAATGAACATTTAAAAATTGACTTTATGAAATTTAAAAAATTAATGACACTATAACTTTCTTTGGTACAGTACTGATTTCAACTTGTATATTTATTTGTAAGACTAATTAACAGATAAGTAAGGTAATTACAAGCAGGCAATGTACCCCTTACAGATACATAAGAATAATGTACATACAAATTAATATACTGTAGGTTAGGTTCCAGTTACTGCTGTAAAGTGAAACTACGTTTTTTTCACTTTCAAATGCATATAAAAGCCTGATAACATCTTTACACTATCATATATGCATATACAGTACACACATTACTTACTCTAAAATATAGGCCCCACTTTATGGTGTTTCACTAATATGTACAGTGGTTTTTAATTTTACCCATTCTTCATTTATTCAGACTTTTTACAACAAATATATTCACCACTTACTACAAGCTAAGGATGAAAATATTTTAAGGTAAGTAATGTGTGTACTGTATATGCATTTTTAAGGCCTAGCTATATTGCTCACTCAATACAGTAGGGCCCCACTTATACAGCAGGTTAGGTTCCAGGCTACTGCCAGAGAGCAGACTGCCATTTTTTCCATTTATAAATGCATGTAAATGCCAGATAACAAGTTTACACTAACATATATTAAGTTAGCAATAGAACTAGGCATTAAAAACAATAAAAAGTAAAATAGCACACAGTACACTCATTACTTACCCCCAAATATTTGTAGTCTTAATGTAGGGTAAGAGGTGAGTAGTATTTATTGTAAGAAGTCAAGTGTGGTAGGTATGGTAGCCCTCCTGGCCAACCCACCCACACATGACATTTAAAGCACCCTAGGGCAATAAAATGCATATGCAGTTCACTCATTACTTACCTTAAAATATTTGTAGTCTTAATGTAGGGCAAGAGGTGAGTCAACGATATAAAAATGAATAAACAAAAGAAAGAGAGAACAAGTAAATGAGAGAGGACAGAGCTGCAGAATACGTAAACAATCGAATGTGTCTGGTTTTGGTTGATACATGTTCATTCCTGTGTCTGTAAGTTTATTCAGGTATACACAAATACAGTTACATCGATTATCATACACAGCAGCATGTGTGTGGAGAACCTAGGATAACCCAAAAAAGTCAGACAAAGTGACTTATTTCCATTAGTGTCCTCTTAATACCTTATTATACTATTAAGGAGATAATATCCTATTATTATACTATAAGGGAGATATACTAGGAGTAAGGTAAAAATGAGTTATTTAGATTTACATGTGTGTTAGCTAAAAAAATTAATCATTCTCCTCCCTTTCTGTCGCTACAGTAGGGCCCTGCTTTACGGTGAAGTGCCACAAAGTGGGGCCCTACTGTATATAATAGTATATAAACATGTTACCAGGCTAAATGGGAAGGGTAAGATGACTCCAGTTCCCTTAGATCAAGACTTTCAGCATGAAAGCACTTCTCTTGAAGCAGCCTGGAGCTGAACAAGGGTCTTGTAATGACCTGCATCAGCATAAGCCATGCTTCACATTTCAGATTGGTATCAAATATGTAACATAAGTATATATGGGGAAGTGGAACAGAATTCTTCCTCCATAAGTCATACGTGTCGTAAGAGGCAACTAAAATGCCAGGAGCAAGGGGCTAGTAACACCCTTTTCTTGTATACATTACTGAATTTATAAAGAGAAACTTCTGTTTTTCTTTTTGGGCCACCCTGCTTCAGTGGGATACCAGTTTGTTGAAAGAAGTAGATTTTATGTATACAGTAAGTCCTCAATTAACACTTTCACTGACTTTGCAGATGAGCTGATGAGCTCAGCTTACTCAGATAAGCAGTGAGGGGTAAATTTCGGCCTAGGTATGAGAGAATGGGTTGATGTGGTAAGTGTGCACCATGTAACAAAATCCTGCAGCACTCAGTACACGAAAAAAACTCCAACAGTGTTTTTGGTTTAAAACGGCAACTTTCCAGTGTACAATGGACCCCCGGTTAACGATATTTTTTCATTCCAGAAGTATGTTCAGGTGCCAGTACTGACCGAATTTGTTCCCATAAGGAATATTGTGAAGTAGATTAGTCCATTTCAGACCCCCAAACATACACGTACAAACGCACTTACGTAAATACACTTACATAATTGGTCGCATGGGGAGGTGATCGTTCAGCGGGGGTCCACTGTATTTTCGTATGGATTTTATGGTTGTATTCTCAGTTTCTTGGTTTTAGGACTGAAACTAGCTTGAAATTGAGCTCAAGGTAGCAGAAATGTTTGATTTTTGCTGATGTTCAAGAGTAAACAAATGTGACACATCCAGTACACATTAACTAATGGGTCTAATATGCATTCATGAATGCACTGACAGTTATTTATACAATAACAGTAAATCTTCTATTTTTTTGCGTGAATAAAAAATCAAAATGGAATTCATGTGTAAAGCCTGGAAACATAACTAATGAACAGAGTAAATGTTATTTTAGTGCCATTGTTTATTCTAGACTCTATTTTGAAATTGGAATACAGGTACTCCTCAATGACTGAGTTCCATTCAAAAGAGTGGGTCAGTTAGCAGATTGGTTGTTAAGTGAGGAGTCACTCCTTACTGATTTTCTGTACCGGTAGTGGGTTTGTGTCGGCCATCTTTAGATAATATTTTAATGTCACCTTTGCACCAGTTGTAACATTTTTAGTATATTAAAAGTAGTTAGGCATTATGGACAAAATATGTAGTCTTAGAGTTTGCCAATACTTGTGTGGTGAGCCGACTGACCACAGGAGTGATACTGAGACTAATGCTTGACGCTGAGACACACTACCACACTGCTGTTTCCACAACCAAAGTTGTTGTACAGCATACAATGCCAGCTGGTCAAAGAGGTAGTCGTAAGTCTGAGCAGTTGTTAAACAGGTAGGCCATTAGTGAGGAGTACCTGTATTTTGAAATTTGTGTGAAATTAGCCAAAATTACCAATTTCTGATCACTATTGGGTAGCTGAAATAGTTGATTGGTTGATTTCTTGTGCTCCAACTATAAAATGGAAGACATAATAGTGAAATAGCTAAGAATTTGGTTGACTGGAAGAATGTAATTGGCCTAAAATAGGACTCAAAATAGACAATCACCAATGTATGGAATATCACCGAGACAACTAAATTCACAAAAGTGTAGTTTTGTCAGTTTTCAGTCAAATTTCATACTTTTTATTTTATTACCTTCAGAAAAAGATTCTCTACCATTTCATAAGGAAAATTAACAATTTTTTTTTTTTAAATTCTTGGAAACTGTGGACAAGTTTCAGATCAGGGGTCTGGACAATTAAAGGGTTAAACTTCATATATAGGTTCTTGGAAACTGCGACTTTAAGCAAAACGACATATAACAAAACCAATTTTATTATAGGCTAATTGATATAAACATCAAGGGTGCAAAGTGCACCTTTAACATTCACTGCAACAGGGTTAAATCAAGGAATAAATGTTTGCAAAGTGAAAATTTTAAGTAAGTTAAGTTTATTCAGGTATACACACACATATAGCAGCACATGTATAGAGAACCTATGATAGCCCAAAAAAAGTCAGTGACTTATTTCCATTGGGGTCCTTTTTATTACCTTATTAACAAGGGGGATATAAATAAGGGATATATAAACACTTAAGCAGTATACTGTAATGTGATCCTTTATTGACAACGTTTCGCCGACGCAGGGAGTTTTATCAAGTCACAAACAGATCTACCTAGGTTAAAGGTACGAGAGTATTTATAGGATGGAGTCAGGAGGAGAATGCTGGGTCAGGTGGAGAATGCTGCATGTGACAATCTTCCGAGTAGGGTGATAGTCTAGAACCTTGGGTATAAATAAGGTCTTGAGGATTCTCTCTCTCTCTCTCTCTCTCTCTCTCTAAGAGAGAACCCACAATAATGGATTCATATTAGATAAGTTTAGATTTAGAAAGGATATAGGAAAGTATTGGTTTGGAAATACAGTAGTTGATGAGTGGAACAGTCTGCCTAGTAGGGTTATTGAAGCTAAAACCTTGGGTAATTTCAAATTTAGGTTGGATAAATACATGAATGAGAGGGGTTGGATTTGAGTGGGACTTTCACACGAGTTAGTGGATTTACCAGAGCTTATTGTTAGGGAAGAACTGAAGTGGGTTGTGCAAATATTTTGTTAGTGGGTTGGATTTGTGAAGGACCTGCTCAGTATGGGCCAACAGCCCTACTGCAGTGTTCCTTTCTCATTTTTTTTTTTAACAAGTTGGTCATCTCCCACTGAGGCAGGGTGACCCAAAAAGAAAAAGAAAATACTTTCATCATCATCATTCAACACTTTCACCTTACTCACACATAATCACTGTCTTTGCAGAGGTGTCCAGATACAACAGTTTAGAAGCATATATAAAGACATAACATATCCCTCCAAAACTGCCAATATCCCAAGCCCCTCCTTTAAAGTGCAGGCATTGTACTTCCCATTTCCAGTACTCAAGTCCAGCTGTATAAAAATAACCAGTTTCCCTGAATCCCTTCACTAACTATTACCCTGCTCACACTCCAACAGCTTGTCAGGACCCAAAAACCATTTGTCTTCATTCACTCCTCTCTAACACATTTATGTTCTTATGTTATTCTAAAGGAACATATAATGGTGCATCTCCTACCACTATGCTCAACTCATATGGAGCTCAACTCGTGGAATGAGCTAGGTAAATATTCATAAGACAAGATAATCATACAGTAAGATATACAAAGATGAAAAAACACAAGAATGACAACTCTTCAGGATTAATGTTTATTTTTTTATTATTTTTTTTTTTTTTTTGCAGGTGTTCGAGTAATTATTGATAAGAAGGCCCAGTTAACACTCCTGGGTACAGAGATGGATTACGTGCAGAGCAAGCTATCTGCAGAATTTGTCTTCAATAATCCTAATATTAAAGGAACTTGTGGCTGTGGAGAGAGCTTTTCAATTTAACAGAGATAATAAGGTGCAATTTGTGTACAGTAGTTGATTCTAAAGGGGGGGTCAGTCTGTCGCAGACAAAGAATTTTGAAAAACTGGCATTTTTAAAGAAAATTTTTTTTATTCATTTGGCAATTCCTCAGTGGGAGACAGCCAGTGTTAAAAAATATACACAATATTGTTATACATAAAAAATGCAGTAGTATATTCCACTGTGTTTTTTGCCATTTTGTACTTGATTTTTCTTTATCTTTGTGATATAATTTATTTAATTACCTCTGACATTTACTAGTAAATGAAAAGTAGTGTAGCACTACATACTCGAGAGATTTGAGAAGAGAATCAAGTAACACAGAGAACAGTCACCACAGAATACTGGAAAATGAAGTTTACCTCTGTTCAGAAAATTTAATCCAAAACTGTTATTCTAAGAATTGTATAGTACATGATTTTAACTTGAGATGTCATTAAACTTATTTTTTCCATTTAGTTTATTTTGAAAAAAAAAAAAATCTGGAATTCAGATACTGTACATTTAAAAACTGATGATTAATAAATTTAGAATATGGTATAATATGTACATGTACTCTATTTTAAATTTGTCTGCAACTACCTGACTTTCCCTTAATTTAGGTCTTTTGGTATTTCAATTGTAAACCTGTAATTTTATAGGGTATTTAACGATGTTATTGAGTGCAGTACTGTACTCTTTTTTTTTTTTTTTTTCTGTTAACCAAGAATTTCTTGGTTTAACTGGACTACCTAATATAGTTTATTATATATCCCATTTGTGGATTATTATAAGTAAGCAGGAAGAAAGTGGAAAACTCAACGACCAGACAGACCATCTTCAATGACATTTTTTGCTTTTGTCTAGTTCCTGACTCAGGATTGATTGAACAAAATAGAGATAATTTTTAATGATTGTCTCACTTTTGTCTGGTCTCCAGCTCTTGGGTGAACACTATTTTGTCATTTATTGTGATTAGTATGCTACTAAAAGATGAGATTACTTGCTTGTTGATCAAAGGGCCTAGCAAAGAGAAAATTATTCTTAACAGGGAAAAATTCATAATGAAAATATTTTTTGTAGGCATCTTTAACCCTTAAACTGTCCACACGTAGATCTATGTTCATGTGCGGGGGGCTCCGAACGTAGACTGTTTTATTTTTCATTCTTTCAAATTTGGTGCGATAGGCCTGAGTCGCCTAGACATGAAAGAATGGGTCTGTGCACTCAGTGTGCGCAGTATGAAAAAAAATCGGGGACCACTTAGTACCTTGTGAGAACACCAGTTCAATTGAGTGCCAGCTAAAGCAAATAGCATGGCAAACACCAGTGATTCACTGATGTCATATTAACACTCACATTTTAAAAGGAAAGCAAAAATATGAGTGGGTGTGAGCTAGACCTGACTAGCTTGTGCTACTAGGTCAGATGCCGTGCTCCTTCCTTCAGTGGATGTGACCTGACTTGGTGGGTCATTGGTCTAAGCCAGGGGGTGACATGGACCCGCCTTGCATGGACCTTTAGGCCTGCTGCAGTGTTCCTTCTTTCTTATGTTCTAATGTATTCGGCTGGCTGGCTTTGGCTGTCTGTCTATGTCTCTGTCTATGTCTTTACATGTACTCATAAGTACAGTTATTATATATAATGTAAATTGCCTAGGATAACCCAAAAATTCCAAGCCAAGTGCTATACAGTGTTTGTAGATACGACAAATAAACATGACCACACACACAAGACAGAAAGACACATAAGCTGAACTAGGGAGATAGATAGGCTGACAGACACATACAGAGACATGTTTGTGTGCAAGAGTAAAAACATATAAAGGCAAGGTTCCCCCCTCCAGCAGCGCACATTCATCAAATGTCACTTATCTGACGCTTGTCATGACACCATTCTTCAAGGAGTTTCATATTATACTCCAGGCACACAGAAGACAGAAAGACAGATAAGCAGAGCTAGGCAGATAGACAGACAGATGTACAGACAGGAAGACATGTACAGACAGGCAGACAGATATACAAAGACATGTTTGTGTACAAGAGTAAAAACATATAAAGGCAAGGTTCCCTCCAGCAGTGCACATTCATCAAATGTCACTGGCTGTCACTTATCTGACCCTTGTCATAACACCATTCTTCAAGGAGTTTCATACTCCATGTCTAAAACATTGCTGGGACCTATAAATACTTTGACTATTGTCTAGAAAAGTATACAGTGACCAAGGCAGGTAAAAATGTTCACCTGTTAGTATGATTGTTACTATTTGAGTACTATTTCAGTACATAATATTAGTGTCAGAACAAAGATTGGCTATGAAATCACAAGAGCTATTATAAATTGTAATTATCAGAACATAAAAATTACGTATATAAATTAAAATAAAAAGAAAAAAAGGTAAATCGGCAAAATTTCTGCAAGCGGCAGGACTGGATGTTGCCGTCAGGTGAGCATCCAGAGCCAACTTCGTGGTCTTATATCTCGGTAAGTACTGGTCCTATTTTTTTTTTTTTTTTTTTTTTGGTCTTATACCACATTTTTCTTCTTATTCTTTTTAGTAATCTTTACAGGAAAAAGGGATTACTAGCCCATTGTTCCCGGCATTTTAGTTGACTTTTACAACACGCATGGCTTACGGAGGAAAGATTCTTATTCCACTTCCCCATAGATATAAAAGGAAAAGTAATAAGACCAAGAACTATTAAGATAAAATCAAAGAAAACTCAGATGAGTGTGTATAAATAAATGTGTACATGAATGTGTAGTGTGACCTAAGTGTAACTAGAAGTAGCAAGACATACCTGTAATCTTGCATATTTATGAGACAGACAAAAGACATCAGCAATCCTACCATCATGTAAAACAATCACAGGCTTTTGTTTTACACTCACTTGGCAGGATGGTAGTACCTCCCTGGGTGGTTGCTGTCTACCAACCTACTACTACTACTGGTGAAAGTCGAGGTTGGGGGACTACTCTCTCCCGTCTTCGCATTGGCCATACTCGTCTTACTCATGGATATCTCATGGAGAGGCGCCCTGCTCCTCTCTGTGAGAATTGCCAAGTTCCATTATCAGTCAGCCACATTCTGTTGGACTGCCCACTTTATCAACGAGCACACAGAATTTACCTCCGTCGTCGTCTTCGTTCTGCTGCTCTCTCTTTACCTTCCCTTCTCGCTGATGGACCCACCTTTCATCCAGACTCTCTCATTGACTTTTTGACAACAACTGACTTACTTCACAAATTCTGATACCTTCAGCCCTTTCTACTTCAATCTCTTGCTACCCCCTACCCCCGTACTATCCCCTGCCCCGCTGTTTTCTGTAACCTACTGATCATCCCTCCTCCCTTCTGCCATCCAATACCCTCGCTTCCTTCCCTACCCTGCAGCGCTGTATAGCCCTTGTGGCTTAGCGCTTCTTTTTTGATTATAATAATAATACTGGTGAAAGTGTTGAATGATGAAAGTATTTTCTTTTTGGGGATTTTTTCTTTTTTGGGTCACCCTGCCTCGGTGGGAGACGGCCGACTTGTTGGGAAAAAAAAAAATACCACATAGAAAATTGCCCTCTAATTTAAAAAAAAAAAATTATTTTTCAAAATATTCGGAGCGCCACGCAGGTGAACGTAGATCAACGTTTGGACAGTTTAAGGGTTAAAAAACAAAAGTGTGAACGGATTAGCAGGGGTGGAGCATAGTCTAAATTCTCTTGACAACAAGGTTATTTTTTTTTTACTATATTGTGAATATTGACTTTTTTTTTTTTTTTTTTTTAAAGTCCAGTGTAGCATGTCAGTTATTTTTAAATGTTTAATGTCTGTCAATCATTGGTTTTTCACTGAACTTGCTGTCTGGTACAGATTTATTTTATGAATGAACTAATACAGCAGTATGTATTAAATGATTAAAAAAAAAAAATCATTTAATACATACTGCTGTATTAGTTAATTCATAAAATAAATCTGTACCAGACAGCAAGTTCAGTGAAAAACCAATGATTGACAGACATTAAACATTTAAAAATAACTGACATGCTACACTGGACTTTTTTTTTTTTGTGTGTGTGTGTGCATAAAATAATATAATCAAAGTGCTGAACCCACATGGATCATACAGCTGTGTAAATATTAACTATTTGCTCACTAATTATGTGGGCAATCAGTGGCTTATAATAAGCATACTCTCATTAATAAAGTAAAATAATGTGGGTCATTTAATACTGTATATACTTGTCAAAATAGATAGAATCAAATTGTCAAAAAACAATTTTTTTTTTTTTTTTTTTTTTTTTTTTTACAAAGCAATACACCCATGTGGTATATTCAACTGGATCATGTAAATGTGAAATATTTTCTCCATTTTGGCCCTTTTGAGGATTCTTAATGGTAGTAGAGGGCTCTTGACTTGGAAGTACCATTTGAATCAAACCTGAGTGCCTCCCTGTCCACAGCTGTGACCCATACAAGTTTAGTGCTCCCCGTGAATAATTTTTCCTTTTGTGGGGAAACTACACTTATGGGGAAGCTCTAATTATAATCATAACTAAGTGCTAAACCCATAAAGGTAATACAGCTCTACAGGGGAAGCCCTAAACCCATTGAAGTTATATAGTACCTTGCAGAATGGGAAGTACAGTACAGTGGACCCCCGCATACCGTTGGCCTTACATAACGTTAAATCCGCATACCGCTACATTTTATTGCTAAGATTTTGCCTCACATACCGCTAAAAAACCAGCTCAAAGCTGTTCGTCCGAGACGCGTCTGTGCGGCCTGAGCCACATGTTCACATGTTCCGCCGGTGGCATTGTTTACCAGCCAGCCTCCGCGGTAACATCCAAGCATACAATCGGAACATTTCGTATTATTACAGTGTTTTTGGTGATTTTATCTGCAAAATAAGTGACCATGGGCCCCAAGAAAGCTTCTAGTGCCAACCCTACAGCAATAAGGGTGAGAATTACTATAGAGATGAAGAAAAAGATCATTGATAAGTATGAAAGTGGAGTGCGTGTCTCCGTACTGCTGCTGCTGTACCACCGTCAGCTGCTGCTGCTGCACTGTCAGCTGCTGCTGCTGTAGCACCATCAGCTGCTGCTGTACCACCGTCAGCTGCTGCTGTACCACCGTCAGCTGCTGCTGCTGCTCTAGCATCGTCTGCTGCTGCTGCTGTACCACCGTCAGCTGCTGCTGCTGCTGTAGTACCGTCTGCTGCTGCTGTAGCATCGTCTGCTGCTGCTGTAGCACTGCCAGCTGCTGCTGCTGCTGTAGCACCGTTGTTGGTGTGGCTTATTGAGAATACCAAGAAACAATTAACCCCAGAGGATTAGCCACCCTAGGATAACCCAAAAAAGTCAGTGTCATCGAAGACTGTCTAACTTATTTCCATTTGGGGTCCTTAATCTTGTCTCCCAGGATGCAACCCACACCAGTCCACTAACACCCAGGTGAACAGGGAAAAATGCCTGGAACTAGTGCTCATATTGGTGAATTTAAAGCCAGCAAAGGTTGGTTTGAGAGATTTAAGAATCGTAGTGGCATACACAGTGTGATAAGGCCTGTTCTGGAAGAAAATGCCAAACAGGACCTACAGTACTCAGGAGGAAAAGGCACTCCAGGACACAGTGTCTCATCAGTCATTGCTGCATCTTCAATAAAGGCGTGTCATTTATTCTTCATTTAGTAGAGTAGTACATGCACAATATATACTGTGCATGTATCCTTCTCTTTGTGTGTAGGAAAATGTATATTTCATGTGGTAAAATTTTTTTTTCATACTTTTGGGTGTCTTGCACGGATTAATTTGATTTCCATTATTTCTTATGGGGAAAATTCATTCGCATAACGATAATTTCGCATAACAATGAGCTCTCATGCACAGATTAATATCGTTATGCGGGGGTCCACTGTATTCAGGTTTGAGCCAAAAAAAGGGAAGGTAGGTTCCAATTCTTTGGCTCATGAGCGCTTCCCCTCAAGGAAGGTTCCTTGATGTTGGTGAGGGGCTCTTGATTTAGGGAATTGGATCTGTGCTCCAGTTCCCCGAATTAAGCCTGAATGCCTTCCACATCCCTCCCCCCCCCAGGCGCTGTATAATCCTCCGGGTTTAGCGCTTCCCCCTTGATTATAATAATAATAATCATGAGCGCTTCACGCACATCAAAGAACTTCCCTCGGTCAGATTGGAGACAAATATTTCACTTTTACACGTTCCAGCCAAATGAACCATATGGGTTTATTGCTCTGTAAAAGTAGCCAAAGAATTTTAAAACAATTTCATTAACTGATCTCATTATATCTTTCATATGATCCCATATATTCAGACTTGTTAAAATATGTTGGTGTTAACCATATAAGAGCTGGGCATAATGAAAGGATTAGGGTTGTATGAGCAGATTTTTATTTTTTATTTGTAAATAAAATATAGCAAAAGAAACTAAATATTCCTATAATATTAAGAAAAATAAATAATATATTATTCCTGTATATCATTTTCACAAGTTACATAATTCCAAAATGAACATCACAAACACGAACACGAACACTTGAATCAACTAGATTGGTAGACAAGCAAGTTTAACTTTTTTTTGCCTACTCTGCAGACTTTGGTTAGATAGAGGAGATAACTGAGACAACAGAAACAATGGAGAGGTCAAGTTGAAGCAGTCAGTACATCAACCTGAAGTGTTGAGCTCTATAGTTTTGAGACTATGGAGATTAACAGTGTCAAGATTGAGGGACTGATCACTTCATCTTGACCTCTCCACTGTTTCTGCTCTCTCAATATTCATCTCTGTATTCGATAGAAGTCTGCAGAGTAGGCAAAAAAAAAAAAAAGCTAAAATCTGTTGAATGTTTTACTCATCTACCAATCTAGCTGATGTATATGTCTGTGTTTGTGATACTCATTTTAGAATTATACAAAAATTCTAAAATCAATATCACAACATGGACATATAAATCAACTAGATTAGTAAACATGGAGAGGTCAAGATGAGGCAATCAGCCCCTCAATCTTGACACACACTAATCTCCATAGTCTCTCAACTACAGGGCTGAACACTTAAGGCTGAGGGACTTGCCACCCCAACACTGATTCATCAAGGATGATGTATTCACTTACCTCTCCACTGCAGGATGCCAACTATATTAGTTAAAATTTTTAATGTCTTATTATAGAGGAAGTCTGCTGTTATCCACACTGAATCTTCCAATTATCAGTACATAGTAGTACAGCAATTAGAATTCATAAAACATCACACAGGTTAGACTTATACCAATAAGACAGCTTTTATAGAGAAATCTTCCATTTTACAGTTATTACTTCTCTATTTTACAGGTATCACTTACTTAAAGGCTGAATTATATCTGCAAAGTAATATGTCTGTATCACTAAAGTGAGCTCTTAAGTGTGGGTAAGGCTTGCTTCAGTGAATTATTAAATTCTAAGCTATGTGGTGTTTTACATACATTTACATCAAATGCTACACTTTAAAAAAATTTATGGCAAATATTTTTAACTGTTGGGGAATCTCTGCAAAGTGTACCTAAGTTTTAATAAATTATTGCAAGATCATTAAACCACTGATTGCTCTAGCACTGAAACTGACTAGAAAAGGTGGAAAATATAGCAACATCATGGTTAAAAATAAGCAACATTACCATGACTGGGACTAGTAGCAGGTAACTTGCTAATTGGACATTTCAGTCTGTACTGGAGCATTATAGTGATGCAAGTTGATATTGGTCCAGGACAGACTAAAATGCTGTTCAGTTTTAATATACTTTAGGAAATATTTTGATATCAAGAAATAGGAAAAAGATTTAGTGTTAAAACTTGAATAATGTATGTCATTGCTATAAGAAGAGAACACATTTCCCAAGGCAAGGTACTAAGAGTAAAATATTATAAACAAGATAAGAAATGTCCTTAAATAAAAACTAGTTAATGTACAAACATACCAAAACTAGTTATCCTGCAGTCCATACCTATCTAGGAATTTTTTAGTAGCTATAGAAAAGTCATTGTTATTGAATTTGTAGAACTGGCTTTGTTTTTTTTCTTGGCTGCTACTAAATTGTGGAACAGAAGTGTCATCAGTAACTGCACTCTCACTCCCATTTCTTTTTTTCATTGCTGAAATGTAAATCAATGAAACCTTAAAATCATAAATATAAATATTATTTAAGTCAATATTAGCTATAAATGTATTCAATGCAGCATTCTCACAATGAATATTAGCTATGACTACACACACATAATTCAGCAGGAAAGACTGAGGCAATTGGAAATTAATTTATACCTTAAAGTTGACAGACCTACTCAGCAGAAAGAATAAACAGCCTACTATAAGTACACTAAAAGAAATGCAGAAATTATTGCACAATATAATTAACAGTACTGAATTGAGAGTAAACTTGCCTACAAAGGATTAGGGCATTTGAAAAAAAAAAAGAGCTATACTATAAAATTTAAGCTGAGAGTAACTGAATACAGTGGACCCCCGCTTAACGATCACCTCCCAATGCGACCAATTATGTAAGTGTATTTATGTAAGTGCGTTTGTACGTGTATGTTTGGGGGTCTGAAATGGACTAATCTACTTCACAATATTCCTTATGGGAACAAATTCGGTCAGTACTGGCACCTGAACATACTTCTGGAATGAAAAAATATCGTTAACCGGGGGTCCACTGTATTTTCACTACAATAGTGACTTTTTATTACTAACAATCAAGAAGACTACTGGTTTCAAGTGTGTAAAACTTTTGCAATATGCACTGCAATTTTATTTACCTTAGGAATCTAATATAGTAGCAAATACAAACACAGCATTGTAAATAATTTAAAAAATTTTATTGAGGAGTTAGCCTTTAAAATTCTTTATACAGTGGACCCCCGCTTAACGATCACCTCCAAATGCGACCAATTATGTAAGTGTATTTATGTAAGTGCGTTTGTACGTGTATGTTTGGGGGTCTGAAATGGACTAATCTACTTCACAATATTCCTTATGGGAGAAAATTCGGTCAGTACTGGCACCTGAACATACTACTGGAATGAAAAAGGTTCGTTAACCGGGGGTCCACTGTATATACTAGCTATCTGAATCTTGCATGATCTACAATGTTAATAAAAATGGTTGCAAATTTTGCGAGTAAATACAACTCCCCACTGAAGCCAAGGAATATGTGGAGCATTTCTGATGAGAATACGGGGTTAAAAAAAAAAAAAAGTAATAATCAACATTGTACCTGTGTTGATTATTACCATCATGAGGAAGGGTCAAATCCACAAGTTACACAGCACCTGGGAAATGAAGGGGGATGGGATGAGAGAAGGGGTAGTCAGGTTTGTTCCAAAGGGGAGGTTAGTTCCAGTTCTTTGGAGTAAGAGCCCTTTACCAAAAATGAAGTATATAACCAAATGAAGGGCAATTCTTTGAGATTAAGCTGTACTGTAATTGTAATAAAAATAGAAGTCCAAATGGATATCTTTGGTACTGTACTATCATAATTTATCAAATGTAATTTGTATGCTAGTATACATTAGGCCAAACATGGGATAAGTAGCGTACAAAAGTATGTCTAGAAAGAAATACAGGATAGTTTACCTGGAGACATAGCAGCAATAGCTGCTAACTGCGAGTCTGTGAGGTACTTGGCTGCTGTAGCATCAGTTTCATGGCAGGGGGTTTGATAGTGAGTGCTGATAGTACTCTGATACATAATGTTCTGGATCCCAGGAAGGTACATAGTGTCCATTATGGTTCTGAAAATTTTTTATTTTACATGCAGAAATATACAATAAGATCACAAGAAACAGGTGATTACAGTTTAAAGTCCAAGATGGTACAAATTCAGATTAATTCATAATGCACAAAATGTGTAAGGATTATTAGCTATGGTGACAAATTCACCGTTACCTCTTGTGTCACTTAAATTTAACTTGGCATGTGACCCGACTAAAAATTTCAGAATAATGGAAATGCATCTCCCACACTCGATGAGGTTAACTAACAATCCACTGACTGCACATGCGAGGTCACATCTCTGCTACATATGACTTCTTTCTGTTGCTTTAATAACTTTTACTGTTCCTTGATAATGTGAGAAATCACAAAAGGACTTTGAATATTACCACATTTCACTATGGTTATATGGCAAAATAGCCTACATATGGAAACACATGCTGTAGAGCCATTCCAGTAGTGATTATACTGTACCTAACTAAAATATCCCCCAGCACACTATAAGGTATGAATTATTACAGTATCTCCATGGGGAAGTGGAACAGAATTCTTTCTTCGTAAGCCATTCGTGTCGTAAGAGGAGACTTAAAATGCTGGGAGCAAGGGGTTAGTAACCCTTTCTCCTGTATACATTATTAAATTTATAAAGAGAAATTTTTGTTTTTCTTTTTGGGCCACCCTACTTTGGTGGGATATGGCCAGTGCGTTGAAAGTATTACGGTAAATTTTTTTTTTTTTTTTTGGGGGGGGGGGGGGCCACCTTGCCTTGGTGGGATGCACAGTGAAATTTATCAATACGTATTATGAATGTAACATGGAAGGAACACTGGCACCTTAACAGACTTTCATTCTGGAGGCCCAGATTCTAGCCCTGCAGTGCACCTTGACAGATATTATTGGTGCAGCATATGAATTTTAAACAAGGAAAAAACTGTGTACAGTCCATGGCATTTATTAACCCTTTCGGGGTTTCGGCCGTACTAGTATGGCTTACGCGCCAGGGTTTTTGACGTACTAGTACGCATAAATTTTAGCGCCCTCAAATCTAGCAAGAGAAAGCTGATAGGCCTACATATGAAAGAATGGGTCTATGTCATCAGTGTGCACAGTATAAAAAAAAATCCTGCAGCACACAGTGCATAATGAGGAAAAAAAAACTTTGACCGTGTTTTTGGTTTAAAACAGCGACTTTGCACTGTATTTTCGTATGGTATTTATTGTTGTATTCTAGTTTTCCTGGTCTCATTGTATAGAATGGAAGACATATTACAGAAATTGAGATGATTTTGACTGGTTTTACAATGAAAAGTACCTTGAAATTGAGCTCAAAGTAGCAAAAATGTTTGATTTTTACCAAAATTCAAAAGTAAACAAATCATGCTAAGCGTCCAATACACATCAACTGGTGAGTCTAATATTCTTTCACAAGTGCGCCAATATTATTTATACCATTTCTACACTAATGCAGTAGTCTGCGTAACAGTTAATCTTAATATTTTTGTGAGAATAAAAAATCAAAGTGGAAAGCAAAAGAAATGTAAGAGGGGCATGGGGACGTGACTAATGAACAGAGGAAATGTTATTTTAGTGCCAGGAATGTCTTTCTTGTTTATTCTGGACCCTATTTGGAAATTGGCATCTTTTGAAATTTGTGTGAAATTGGCAAAATTGCTAAATTCTTACCACTTTATTGGATAGTTGAAATTGGTAAATGGGTGGTTTCTTGTACTCATTTGATAGAAAAAATGGAGTTCTAGTGAAATAGTTATGATTTTTGTTGACTAGTACACTGGAATTGGCCGAAAATAGGGCTCAAAGTGGGCAAAATCGCCAATGTGTAAACATCGTCGAGACCGCTAACTTCGCGAGAGCATAATTCCGTAAGTTTTCCATCAAATTTCATACTTTTGGTGTCATTATGATCGGGAAAAGATTCTCTATCTTTTCATAAGAAAAAATAATTTTTTTTTTTTTTAAATTTTGGCGACCCTCAAAGGGTTTAAGGAAACTTTTCACCATAAGGGACTCTTCATTAAAACTGAAGAAATCAAATCATGTCAGTTTCACCAGAACATTTATTTGCAAAGTTTAAGTGCCTATATAATGTCACCATGGTTGTTTAATATATTTATAGATGGGGTTGTAAAAGAAGTAAATACTAGGCTGTTGGGGAGAGGAGCAGGATTAAATTATGGATAATCAAATATAAAAGGGGAGTTGACACAGTTACTTTTTGCTGATGATACTGTGCTTTTGGGAGATGCTAAAGAAAAGTTACAAAGGTTAGTGGATGAGTTTGAGAGGGTGTGTAAAAGTAGAAAGCTGAAAGTGAACACAGATAAGAGTAAGATGATGAGAGTATCAAACGATTTAGATAAAGAAAAATTGGATATCACATTGGAGGGAGGAAGTATGGAAGTGAATGTTTTCAGATACTTGGGGGTTGACTTGTCAGTAGATGGGTTTATGAAGGATGAGGTTAACCAGAGAATTGATGAAGGAACAAAGGCGAATGGTACGTTGAGGTATCTGTTGGGAAAAAAAAATTTTTTTCCCCAAAAAAGGGGGAAGAAAAAAAAATTTTAGGGGAAACCTATAGAAAAATTGGGGTTGAAAAAGGGGAAAGGGGGGCCCAAAAGGGAAAAACCTTTAACCATGTTTTAAATATTATGCGGAATTTTATTAAAAGGGAATTGGGGATTACAAAAAAAAAAGGGGGAATTAAAAGGGGTTTTTGGGTGGTTTTCTTTAAAAGGGGAATATAAATATAAAAAATTTGGGGGGGGAAAAAGGGGGCGCCCGGGGTTAGGAAAAAAAATTTTTTTACTTGGTTTTTAAAGGTTTTTGCTGGGGGGAAAAAGCAACGAAAGGGGATTGACCGGGGGGGGGAAAACCCGGAATATTTTGTGGGGGATTGGGAAAAATTTTATACTGGCCTGGAATTGGGAAAAAGTTTACTTTTGGGGAAATTGGGGTTTTTTGGGGGGGAAATTAAATGTATTTGGGCCTTGTAAACATTATTTTTTTGGGGATAAAGTAAATTTTTTCCCTTTTTTTCACCCTGTCTGGGAAAGGGCCTTTTTTAAAAAAATTTAAAAAAACCCGGTCAAAAACATGTAAAATTTCCCTCTTGAAATTTTCCCAAATGCGGTCTGCGTTTGGGTTGAATAATAAACCCTTTTCTTCTTTTTTATTTTTAAAAAGTCCCCCCCCTGGGCCGCGGGTGTAGCGGCGGTTGGTGAAAAATTTTTCCCCAAAAAAAACCCCGCTCCCCTTGTCCAACCCCAAATGTGGGTACCATCCACATTTTGGGGGGGGGGGGGGGGGGGGGGGGGGGGGGGGGGGGGGAAAACAGGTTTTGGGGTTTTTTTTTTGGGGGGAAAAAGGGAATGGGCCCCAAAAAATTTTCTTCCCCCTAAAAAAGGGGGAAATACATGGGATGAAGAAAAATCTTGTAATTGAAATTCTGCCAGGGCCCTTGTTAAAAAAAACCCCAAAATTTTTTCCTATTTTACACGGGGGCCAAACCTTTTTTCCCCCGGGGCCTGCTTGCCCACCGCAAGCCGTTTTTTGGCCCTTGGGTTTTGTTTAAAGTTGCGGCTTGAACCTTTGAACTTCGTCCTGTTCCCTTTCGCTGTTGGAACTTCATTGGCAGCTCTCGCGGGGGGGGGTTTTCGCTGTAATGCTGATGCTTCCCCCTACGCTGCCCCGTTTTCAAGTTGGGGGGCCCCAGAAAACCAAAAACTTAAACCCCCAAGGGGTTGCCCGGAAAACCCCAAAAAATTTTAAAAGTCTAACTTTTTTCGGGGGAAGCCTAATTTGCTAGGTAACCCCCAGGAAAAACCCCCATTGAAAAAAAAATCCAATGTGATTTAAAGGGGGTTTGAGAGTTTTAAAAAAAGGGATACAATGGAAAGGCCTGTTGGAAGAAAATACCAAAAAGGCCTACATACTCGGGGGAAAAAGGGCCCCCAAAAGGGGTTTCATTTTTTGCATCTTAAATAAGGTAATGTCATTTTTTCTTTTTTAGTAGAGTAGTACATCCAAAAAAAATTGAGCATGTACTACTCTATTATTGTGCATTAAACCTTCTCTTTGGTGTAGGAAATGATAATTTTATGTGGTAAAAATTTTTTTTTATATTTTGGGGTTTGCAGGATTTTTTGATTCCCCTTATTTCTTAGGGGAAAATTCATTCGCAAGCAACATTTGCTAACAGCCAGCCCCCTTGCACGGATTAAGGTGCTAGCGGGGGCCCCTGTATGTATGTATATATATTATATATATATAAAATATAATTGGAATTAAATTTTAATTAAAATAATTTTTAAAAAATTTATTAATTAATTTTATAAAAATAATTAAATAAAAATTAATCGTGCAAGAACCCAAAAGATGAAAAAATTTTTTTTTCCCCTGAAATGGTTAATTTTTAAAAACACCAAAAGAAAAACATGAATTACATGGACCTTACTTTTTTTTTGAAGATCTGGTGATGATTGATGGGAGGGAGGAGGGGAAGCTTTTTCTTCTTACTGTTTTTGAAGGGGAAACCCTTCCATTAGGACGAGGGAAAACAAGTCCCTTTTTTGGGGTTACTCCCTTCTTCTTTTAATCCACAGGGGCCCGCTTCGGTCATGGACTTCTTCGCACAAGAATCTGTCCATAGTGGCCCCGTACCCTCGTTCTTTACACTTCCCTAAGTGTTTTTCAACATTGCAGTGTACAGGTTGCCAACACGGCTTGCAATCTGTGTGAGGGGATTTTCATCCATGAAGGTTTGCACTCAAGCCACTTTGACGATTTCCTTTTTCTTTTTAGTAGGGGAACTTCTTCAAATTTTTCTCTTTCCCCCCCCCCTGAACCATTTCCCCAGGTCTGGCCTCTTCCTTGAAGTTGACTATCCTCATCATGGTTAGTTCTTCATTGTCCTCCCCCACCAACTCTTCCACATCCCCCCCATAACCTCCCAAACCCCAAGGGGCTTTTCCCAATGCCACAATGGATTCCCCAAAATGGC